ATATCAAGCGTTGCAAATTTTAGTTGAATATCCACACATCCATAGCAACGAAAATTTCAGTGGTAGTGCGAATTTTTAGATTTTTTACTTTACTCGTGTTGTCAATGACAGTGTGAATAAAGTGTTGCTATAAACATTTTATTCATTCTTTCGATTAAACTATTGTTTTAATAGTAAGATTTAAAGTACAAAATGAGGATTTTATAGTAGAAATTGTAAAAAATACCTTCATACCTTTTTGCCTTCGGTCAAAATTTTACGTTGATGGCATATAAAAGTTCATTTTGGACGGTTTTGGACTTTCCTTTAAAAACCGTTGCTTCTTTAAAATGATCTGATACATCAGAGTCCAATTCAGCCGTAAAATCAATCAGATTTCGAAATATAGAGTCTGTGCGTTTTCAGAGAAGCATCCCCCATTGGCGTGCATCAGCTTCAGTAAATAAATCGTTGTCAACACGTCATTCGTTAAATATTTTTCGTGATGTATAACCATTTTAATAACATATAATATAATAAATTTTGTAGTAATTCGTATTGTTTTTGTTTTTAAAGAAGTCAAATCAATTTGTTTTAACAGAAATTGAGGGGGTCGAACCATTTTAATAACATATAATATAATAAATTTTGTAGTAATTAGCATTGTTTTTGTTTTAATGTACTTTAAATAGTAAGTACACTCACGTGTCAAATTCAAGTTCGCTTTACGGTAACACAAACTCAAGGTATCACATAGCAACATAAATTAGATTGATTATAACCCAACAACGACAGCAAATCTTGAAATTGGCCCGTAAAATCTCAATAATATTTGATTGTTAACAATATGAAGTGTGATATTCTTCCGATTGATAAATTCAGAAATTAATATAAATAACAATATTTAATTTAAAATAAAGATACATATCAAATTTATAATCTAAACAAAATTTTTTAAAATCATGTCTTTACTAAACTCACTGTTCCGCCACTGGTGGAATTCTACTTGTCAGACGATGATGACTTATTGTGCTTATCTGCAAACGCACGGTATCTACCTGGATTTTATGATTTTCTACTTTCGTCATGTCCTCGTAAAGCAACTTCGAAGACTCCACATTTTATGCACATTATCAATCGGCCTAATATATGGCGATTTTTGTCGACCCTTGCGTTATGTGCCCGAATATTATTAATACCTATAGGCGGTATCTAGTTCATTTTGCTATGAACACTTTTTTTATTAATAAATCGCAGCAGAACCGGATTGCACTCTAATATCGCTACCACACGCACTATTTCCATGGTAACGGTGTAAAGAAAACGTCTAAATTAAGCATGATTCGGTCTCCGGTTTTTATCAGTACTTTAACATATCATATATCCAAGATATTTTTAGATGTAAGTGGATGTAAGTTTTGATCCATTAGTTTTGATAATTATGACACAAATTTCCGAATAATTTTTTAAATATTGAAAATTACTATTTGGCTATGTCCAGTGTGTTTGTAGAGGTTGTAACTTTGGGGGGGCACGTGCCCTTGTATTCCTATAAGTAATTATTAAAAATATGTCCCAAGATGCACTTTTATGTTAATTATTATTAATGCTTATTTCAATAGACGTCCTGGTCTTGTCTAAGTTCAGATTATTTTTAGCGTAATAATCATACGATTATTGCTCTAACATTGTAATGAATCTTCAAATTAGACTTTAACTTAGAAAAATAATAATAAGAACAATAGTAATATATTTTCATTTTTACTTCTTGAGCGTAAGCTAAGGAAGTATTGTAAAATGATCCATCCGGAAAATTGTTACTTTCATGTTTCATGACCGCTGTAGAATGAAAAAAATAGGTCTCCCGTTTCCATTTGCTTGTCTGTGTATTATCTGCGTAGACATTTATTATTACCGCTTGATTGTTATTAAACTTTATACGTCTGTTAAAAATATCGTGTACTGAATAATAGTAAGATGCTAACCAAAACTTGTTTAATCATCCCCACCAACAATTTGATGACGTCATCTTAAAATTTTGCGTAATAAATGCTACTTAAATTTTATCAGTTCGCCTTGATTCTTTAACCCAGGCAACCAGATTTTCGAAAAAAAATCCAAATTGTAGGTATAACAATAATTCAATTCTTATTTGTATTTTAACCTGCAGGGGTTGTTATAAAGAGCATAAAATTCGGAGAATCAAGTTTTATAATTTCCTATCTACAAAACTCAACTTGTTTAAAATTTTGGTAAGATGCCATTATTGTTTTAGAGAATAGAACATCAAAAAAAAATTTGTTTGTTACTTTCCTTCAGAAAGTTGAACACATCTCAAAAAAAATTAAATAAAAATTTATTAAAAAAAAGTGTTCTAAAGTTATTTAGACAGAGCTTTCTTCATCCCCGAAGCACAATCAAACATATCTCATTTGTAGATAAATTACACAATTTAATTGTGCAGGTTTTATTATCGTTACACACATTATTGTTTCCAAAAATGTTGATGTAGATATGTCATGATACTTATTCCCTAAAAATACCCAAAACCGATGCGATTATTAGTCACTCGAGTGCACTAATCTTAAATTGTTTTGTAAATTAAGCATTAAGTCTCTTTGAAAGTCGTTAGAATTTTTGTTGACAACAACTGCATTAAAAACAGTAGATTGCTTCGCATCAAATTGTTCTAGATAAAGATTAATGCAATGTTATCAACCCTTACTGAATTGTTTAGAGTAATTAAGATAATTGTCATCATTTAAGTATTTTCGCCAATGACTTTACTAAGTAAACACCGTCTATGATATCGACATCAGGGCAAATTCCTTCTTTAATTTCTTTGTTCAATACGTTTATTGTGATAACTGTTTCTGACCTCGTATTCAAAATGTCACAAGAAGACTTTTCTTCATTAAAAAAATCTGAAATTTTCGTAATCTATTTTGCATACATACTCCTTAATAAAAAATATCTATAACATCTGCTCAAAGCGTCAGCTACAATTTAGTTGAAGTTTGAGTCCTTGAAACTCGCGAAATTAAAGGCAACGATTAGTAGATAAACATTTTTAAACCCAATTTGCTACAACTTCGTCACGACAACTTATGTTCAGCTGAACGTCGAGATTATGCAATTTAAAATTCGTGAAGTTAATTTTTCAATTCTTTCAAAATATATCATTATACTTTCGTCGGTCCCATGTTTCATTATATTTAACAATCGACTAATATTTACACCGCTGCTGCAAAATTAGCGGGAGTTTTTCATTTAAATGCTTATAAATTCGTTTAATTCTAATCTGTTGCCACTGAAATTTCTGGGAATCAGGGAACAAATAAATTAAAACTTATTAAATCCGAGCAGCTGGAGTTCGTGGCGTTTGTTCTCTTTCAGACATAATTATTGAATAATGGAAATATGTGACCTAGAGAAAGACGACAGCATAAACCCAAAATAAAATACAAATTTTCACACTGATGAATTTACACCATCGCCATCAAAAGCTGGAGTTCCCATAAATATTCATAAATCAAGAGAACATCATCGAAAAAATAAAATGAACTGAGAAGTAAGAAATCCTTGGATACTAAGATCCTCCATTGTCATTATATGTAGCAACAGATTTAATTTACAGAAATTGTCAGAAAAGAGGCATAGTAGATATTTATGGACTATACTAGAGTTTTGTTTATTAAACTGTTAGGCAGGTACATATTATTATTTATGTTTTCAAATTATTTTAGAAAATTGTCCATATAATTTTTTCTGTTATTTCAACCATCAGAAAGCCTCTTGATTTTTCCTGAAATTTATATAATATACAGTAGCGTCATGATAGTGTTTAATTATATATATCTATGTTATTTATTCAAATTAAAAAGTTTGTTGTTATAAAAAATTAATAAATATAATAAGTAGATTTTTTTTTAAATTTTGGCAAGGTTGTAAAACGGTAAATACCTACAGTGTCGGACGAAGACAGAAACAGAAAATCAGATATTGTACTTGATGGTACAGATTTACAATACCTTGCTAAAATTAAAAGTATTCTGCCATACATCTTTGTGAAGAAAATGTTCTAATACCTATGCCTTTAAGGAAGAAGAAATATCTATCTGACATTAAACTATTTGTTTAGTGTAAATTACGTACATTTTTTTGATATAAGGGGATAACATGAACTTTATTTCTGTGCAAAGTTACGTCTCTGTCGCTCTTTGAATTCAGTGCTGTTGTAGACGAAGAATTTAAGGTCTACTGAATACAAATAAAGAATCTGCCATTTACAGATAATATATCTACCTACTCATATTTTGACGTATATCTATCACAAAAAAGCACATCAAGTTGTACTTGTTTGCCATTTTTATGATAACGACTATAAACTGTTAATTCTGTCTGGTGACACTTTCTTAGTCTCATACATGTGTAAAGACAGTTTGAATATCTTAAACATATTTTATCCGTTATTATCGTATATTTTATCAGCTGGTGTGGAATGTCCAAGCAGCAACGAATTTGTAAGGCGTGATTATGGTATCAAGGGCGGCTTTGAAATGTCAAAAAAGTACGTTAATGAGCGGCAAAATAATTAACAAAAAACATTCCAGCGCCACCCTTGTTATACCAACACCATTTACGGACACTTTGTAAAACCAGTGAAAATTTTGCATTTTTTTAAAACGAAACTCAAAAATTTGAAGCGATCGTATGTTATTTAACGTAAACGAATACATTTTACGTTACTATATGATTTTTATTATACTCCACTTTCAAAACGACAGATATATATGCGCAGACGTTTACAGCAGTAAAGAGGATAATGGAGGAGCGGTTTGGAAGACAATCAATCTCAAAACCTGAATCAACAATGTATACAATGCCAAGTGCGATTGGATAATGTATGCAATAAAAGCATATGATTACATGTAAGCCCCAAACGTAGGAGCCGCCCCTCCACTTTATAAGCTCCTCCTGGATACCCAATTGGTCGGTTCGAACAATGACGGGGACAGCACGCGAAGACGCCGGTCGGAGTCTAGTGGGTTCGGAGACTCGTGCTGGCGTTTGTTGCCAGTGTTTCGTCTAAGCACACTAGATCCAATTCAAACACAGATAACTTATGACATAACCTCAAAAGCTTGGTATCTTCACCGTGTGCTCGTGTTTACGCGTTGTGCGTGGTTTCGCGGATTGTACAGTGCTTGATCGGTTTGCCGTTCGGTTTCATTTTTTAGTGTAGTGTGCAGAGTGCTCGACGCATTCTGCGACAAACAGATCATCAAAATTCGCGTCAAAAACAGAGAACCCGTTCCCGTTTACGCCATGGAAATGGATCCGCAAGAACGGGAAAGTGATATGGGCGATGACAGTCCAGTTGTGAGTAGTCGTAGTCGTGATATTAGATTTTTTATTTAGATTAGACGATTATCATGCGTGATCGCTACTTCAGGACGGTCATTATGACTACCTGTTTCCTGAAGTTTTAATTCATTAAATAAAAGAAGTTAAGGCACCTGTTTGATAACAGGTACACATTATAAGATGTTTTGATAATTGCAATAAAAATATTCGTCTAATATTTTCTGCAAGAGTAGATACATAGATTAGTTGTTTAGATGCTGTTTTTTCGTTATGCAATATTTTCAAGCTATGAAAAAACTTGATAATGCAGGTGTTTGATCTTTTATTGTACGATTTTTTACAAACTCTGCCATTGGAATATAATCATTTTACGCTTTTTGCGCTGTTTGATTATTTTTTTCTGCAGTTTAAATTTTTCTTGTGATAAACAAATAGTTATAATATCAACAAGTTTGGATTTAATGTTATTTATTAATGGCAGTATCATTAGATACCTACAAACATTCTTTTACTGACGTTTGTTTTTCGGGATAATTACTTTTATTATCGACGAAATATCAAAAAATTCCCATATAACCTAATATTTTTACCATCTAGGCTATTTATTTGTTTTGTGAACGGAAGTAGAATTAATATTAAAGCTTATGCTATAGAATTTGATCTTATTCTGAGAATTTAGCATTAACCGGCATAAGATTTACCTACCTATTATATTTATGACAAAGGTACCCATTTATAATTGAATACCCTCAACTAATTTAATCTTATCAATATCTTATTTATTGCAGAAAAAGGGCTTTATAAAGTTGCACATACTGTATTGGTAAATAGGATTTTCATTATGTACCTTATTGTTCATACCGTTTTTTATTTATAAATTTAAATGTTTTTTGCATGCAAAACTACACCACAAAATTCACGCTACAATTACCATTAGATAGATATGCGAACAAGAAAATATACGATAAAAATATGTGGAGTAGGTAATAACGGTACACTACAAATTTTAGAAGAAACATCGTAACTGTATATAGCACAAAAGGCAACTCGTGGCATTACTATACATTACATGAAGTAATAGTTTTTATTCCAAAATTCTAGTTTCAAATTACATACTATTAAGACTGACAGTTTCTTATCTGTTAAATTAATGGTCACTTTCTAGTAAAAAGGTATAGTCGGGTAAATTTAAAGTGGCAGACTTAACTTTTAAAGCCGGTATAAGATTATCATGAAAAGTATTTAGGAACAAACATCTGCACAGGAGCGAGATCATGATGAGTCAAGCCGACCGCCGTTGAAAGAAGGGTCAAGTAGGAAATACCGACGCGTTTTGACAGAAGTTAATACTTTTTTGGGAATCCCATGGCGGCTTTAAAAATTAAGTCTGCCAGTTTAAATTTACAAAACGATATACCAATCCACTGTGAAACCATTATGCGAACATTTGTTGACACATTGGAACATTAAGCAATATTAAAAATTATTGAATATTAATTCATGGTGTTTCGAAAAACGTTAAAATAGAAAGTGGAATGGATTAATGTTCTTTATAAGTCCCAAAAAGACGTAATATATATATCATAAAAAAGTAAACCTTTCCATCGGTGAAAATACAAAAATTATCAACTTATAAGTCTCTAATAAACCTTATTTTAAACATATTTTGACGTTTATTGTACCATATTCAGGTACAATATTTGGAATATTTAGTTAATTAATACGTAATCATACTGCATATCATATTTTCAACTAATGACTATACATATTATCGGAGTTATTCGTTCCTACCTGTAAGTGGCGATTATTGTCAACACATGTAAATAGGTAGGGTCACTGGATGTACATTATTTTGTAGAGTGTGGCGATATTCCCATATTCACTAATAACAGAGAGGAAACTAATAACTAAGGGACTAGGGACACTATAATGACGCCTAGAAGGTAGTCAGAAGTGCCATCATAGCGACATAAAACACTTCCAGGTACTGCCTTATCTCGTAGTACCGACAGATATATATCTTTCTATCTTCTATTCTTGTGAATAAATTGTCATAATTTTTCTCTCAAAAAGTATATGTACTTTGTGTCGCTGTTAGGGAACTTTCGGCCTATTTCGTTACGTACGAACCATTAATCCAAGAATGCAAAAGTTAGTGTTGTTGTTTGTTAATTGTGATTTTTTGAAAATTTTCATAAGAAATGTGACTTGCCCATCATCTAATTACTAATATAAAGTGACATAAGAGGGACATTTTGACCCATAGTTTAACAGGGAAATTGTTTACCTGAATCACGTCTAAACAGCTATGGGTTTCAAATCCGTATATTAAAAATATGCTACACAACTTTTAATATTAGGCACATTCGTAGAAAAACAGTGTTTGAGAGAAAACTTCTGTTTTTTGATAAGAGTCTAAAATGAATATAAAGTCGAAGCGTTTCGTATCCTACAATAAAATATTAATGGTAGATCTTTTTACAATACATGGTCTCTAGAACCTATAGAAGACAGAATCTTGTCTTCGGTTGTTGAACCATCACCGTCCGTTATCAAATTGTTAAAGACATTTTTGAGTTAGTACCTGCTACAATAAGACCGATTTTGGCAAATGACATACCCTCTAAGAAAGGAGAAGGCGAGTGGGTGACACTAGTATAGTTTTGGAAATTTCATTCTACCCTAGAAAAATTTATTGCCAATAACGAGATGGACAGTAGTACAATAGCAAGAGATATTTACAACTTAAGTTGTCGCGTGCCGGTAATCCTCAGATGTTAGAAAGCAGAATCATCCAGGTCCGGTCAGGGACCATCGATACTCACGGACGAAAATGAGTACCACCGGACAGGGAAGATCATAAAAATTATTCTAAAGTTATTTAGACAGAACTTCTCGCTCGTAAAATAAAATACAGGCGAATAAGTACAGATTCTTCGAAAAACTATGACAGTTCATTTTGTTAATTTTATTTTTTTATGATAACCCCTCTAAGTCAAAAAAGATGGGTGTGGACTGTTAAAGTACAGGAAGTATGCTATGCCTGTATTTCAAGAGAGTTTGGTGTCACAAAATTTTGTGCAAGGACATACGTGTATCAGTTTGAATAGGTGCAGTGTACTACTTCTACTACTCACACTCTACACTCAAATTATTGTGAAAATGAGGTGCGCCGTTATTCTTGATTTGATCAATAAAATAGATATTCTCAATCGTTTTTAGTCACCCTGCATAAGTAATTCTAAAAGATATTAAAGCATTGATAAACCACAAGTATAGATCGATAATATTTTGCATATTTTAAGTAGATTCGATTTGACAAAACTTTGAAATGATATCATCAATTTTTAACAGTAAAAATTTGATTGATAATTTACAATCCCGGTTTCAATTTTGCAGTTTCAAAGTTAGATTGCAAAATGTTGTCAATTTTGATTTTTTTTCTAGATGTCTAGAGTAAAAATTCAACACGCATTCATAAATCATAAGTACTGGAGAATGTATTTATCAAAGTAAATTAACATTTACTGTTGCGAATTTTGGAGATGACGTCATCCCATTGATGCTGGGAAGATCAAACAAAATTTCGTTAGTGTTTTCCCATCTACACGATATTCCAAATACATATTAAAATTTGGCAACAATCGGTCCAGTAATTTCGAAGATTATCTGCCTAATAAAAATCCGGACAGACAGCAGAAACAGGAGACTTATTTTTTCGTACTGTTGAAAAGTCGTGAAACGTCGAGAAAACACGAAAGTAGACAGTCGTCCGATGGACTCAATTACAATTACTCCCTTAGGTTACGTTCAGGCAGTAAAAATATATTAACCCACAGATAACATAGATTTACCGTTATATATCAAGCGGAAAAATCGACAAAACAAAAAAGCTCAGTTTCGTGTGCTGAATGATCAAATGGTAGTGTAATGGTGCAGTTGAGAGCTAGCGACCGATTTATACTAAACTCACTTGACATACACCTAGTAAAACTTTGACTTTGACTTAAGCAGCTTAAGCCAAACCACTCTCAAAATGGCTATTGTATAACTTAACTCAGTTGACATATACCTAGTGAAACTTTACAGCTCCTATGGCAACAATAGACAGTAATAATCCTTGCGGTTCGGGTCCATAAAGCTTACAATAGCCAGTTTGACTTATAAGGGTGCTTTGGTTTAAGCCGTTTAAGTCAAAAGTTTTACTAGGTGTATGTCAAGTGAGTTTAGTATACTTTGTATATCTGTCAGTCGTCATGAAAACCAATGGATAAAGTCTCGTATACCTTGTCCGGATAAATGTTATAATTGTTATGGCGCACCGAGTGATCAAAAAGATTCACAAAGGGGGTAAAAAGTTATAATTTATATAAAATGACAGATCTGTCATTTGAAGACGAGTATTTTTTGCGAAAAAAATATAAAAAATATTTCCCACAGGGTTTCTAATCAAGTTTCCGCTGTAAAGTTAACATTAGTAACATTAATACTAACACAGTAAGTAGGTACTAAGAAATTGCTTTAAAGTATTAGAAGTTAATAGGTATTTTTGTTAAATGTACGATTTGAGTTTAAAAACTTATATATTCAAAACTCCGGCAGACATATCTTTTAAAGCCGCCACAGAACTAACATAAAAGTATGAACTTCTGTCAAATAATGTTTATTACCCTTCTATTTATGAGTAAACAAACACCTGCACAGAAGCGGGATGAAGTTGAGTCAAGCGAGGCGGTATTGAAAATCGATTCATGTAAGGTAGAAAAGACCCAAGAATTATTTTATTAATGTTTTGTTTTTGTTTCTTATAAAAACAATTAAAAGTCGCCAATATTCATTGTTTTTTTTTACATTAGAACAAGACCAGTTATCAAAGGGAGCTCAGTTCACTAATGGTCAAGTGGCAACTGTTAACAACAAATTTGTATGCACGCAAGTATAGGTTGTTTAAAGAGTAAAGATATTCCGTTTTTCCCACCCCTAATAACCGTAATGAAAATTTCAGTGCCATCTGT